CCGGCTGGCCACCAGCCACCCCTGCCCACTCCTGAATTCCAATTCACGAGCTGAGTTGAGGAAGCTGTTCTGTGGCACTTGTCCAAGGCCAGAGAACAGCAAGTGACCCCACAGGAGAACACAGTCTGCTTTGCCTTTCGAGATCACATTCCCGCACACCTATTCTTTCCTTCTTTACATTTACTAAGGTTAACCAAAGGATGCAGTTGTTGCATGTGGTCAGAAGGCTGCCACAGGCCCCGCGCCAGCACTTCCCCCGCACAGGCACTGGGATAGGATGCGTGCCCTTCTGTTAGTGCATCATTTCCAACTCACTTTATCCTTTTACTTTGCTACTAAAATTTCTTTGGCTCTGCACCTCCATGAAGTGTGTGTGCGCTTTTGACCCCGCATCCTTTACGTGAGGCATGTGCTGCAGTACAGATTACAGCTGACTCTAGCTGCTAAGAGGCAATTTTGCTTCCTTCCTGAGATTCCATCTATGTTCCAGATGGTGAAGCAGCTAGATTACCAACCCACAGATAAGCCAGGCCTACAATTCCTCACACGCCAATAATGCTGTCACATAGCAGCTCCCATCTCTTAACAGAGGCAGCACCTGAGCAACAGAAACGAAGAATGCACTCCACATAATAATCAATTGCTCTCTGGACTTTTTCACTAAATAACATTCCCTCATTTCCAAACTTTCCCAACAGATATGGTAGGGACATTATCAGAAATACGAATTACTGCAGGCATAACCACCAGCTGCTGAAGATGCACACGTTTTCATTGCAGTTGGCTACATTCTTGTTATATTCCTGGTCCTTAAATGATTACTGGAATTGTGTTATGAAGTCACAGCATTGCTCTCAGGAACCGGAGGAAAGCTGGGGGGCTAGAGACAGCCATTCCTCCTTTCTAGAGAGCCGTTCTTCATGACGCTGTGAAGGGCCACACGCAGGGCCGCTGCCGATCTTTAGATCTTCCACCACCACTCAGGCTGCATCCAACTTCTGATGAAGGGAGCTCAAACTAAGCGCTCTGCAAGGAACCTGTCCCCACAGGATTTCCCAAGATCTCTGTGCCAAGAACACTCACGTAATTTTGGTTACAAGTAAGCTGTACTGGGAGAAAAAAACCAAAACTAAGAATAGAAATTCTTTTAAAAAATACAATAAATTGAAAGAGCACTAACTGGTCTTATGGCTAGTTTACTCGTGGAGTTCTCCACTAGCTCAATAGTAGTTTAAGAGAGATATAATGAGGATTATTCCCCACTTGTATTTTGCAAAGTTGGGTCTCTTTTGGTAGATGCATGAAAATCTTTTTGTTGCTATAGATTCGGAGATAGTTATTGATAAACTTACAAGGAATCTTTCTATTTGATTAAAATGAACATGTAACTAGAACTACTAGATACCTGGAAAAAATTATGATCTGATGTTTACAAATGGTACTGTAACAGCAGGAACTATTTACACATACTTTGGATTGAATTCTTTAGTAATTCACACTATTCTTTAGTGAAGCATTCTGTATATCCCTTAACTGTAAATCACAGCAATAGCAGTCACCCCTAGAAAGTGAGAGCGCCCACGGTACTATAATGAGAAACTACAACTCACGTGTGCATATGTATAATTTATCTACCAATACAAAGTGTTTTACTACTTTAACAATTTTGAGTGAAAGTGTATAAATTTTATACATCAAGATAGCACTTAAAATCAAAGATGGAACTACACTGCACAGTTGAAACTGAAATCATGAGAAAACAAGTATCTAAAGAAAGTGTTCATTCTCATTAAAATAAATAAAAATTAATTTTAAAAAAGTGTTCAGGTGTTCTGTGAATTAACAGTCCCATGGCTTTCACACAGAAATCTAATAATTTCAAAGCATGACACATTTCAATTTTTACAACTTGACTTTCTGAAGCACTGAGTACTGTGATAACAGCTGTTATGTATCTACACTGTGCAAGGTGGTACCTAATGTGGGTTGTGTCCCCAAAAGACCTGAAAGACCTAACCGTAGACACTTGTGAATGCAAACCTATTTGGAATGAGAATTTTCCCAAGTGTACTGAGATGAGGTCCTCCTGGGGTGCAGGCTCCAATCCAGGGTGCCTCATGAGCATCAAGGAAAGAGGCTGCAGCCAGCTGGAAGGCTGCAGACCAGGCGAACAGGTAGGCGAAGCAGCAGTGCGGCTCCGAGCACCAAGCCCTGCGGCAGCGGCAGCGACCTGCAGCAGCTCGGGGGAGGCAAGAGGCCGGAGATGCCCGGGACCCTGCAGCGGGCAAGAACCTGTGATGGCTTCATTTCAGACTTCCGGCCTCTAGAACTGAGAGCAAATTGAAATTCCTCTCTTAAGTCATGAAGGTTGTCAGACTCTCTCAGCCAGGGCCACTCTGTCAGTGTGTGGGACTCTTCTCATGGACTAATAAGCTGAAACCTTTTTATTATCAAGTTGGTTCTTCAGAACAAAATTAAGAATAAACCCCAGCATGACTGACCTCCAAGCATACACTTTCACTATGTATACATATGTATTATTTGATTTAAAATTTAGTAGAATAGCTCTTACCAGCAACTTCCAAATTCTAATCTGGCCATCTTTTAATATTTTAAAATGTGCTGGACAAATACATAGAACTACATATAACTGAGCTAAAAGCCTTAAGCTCTGAACTGACATACCCAACATGTTGTTTTTGTCTCATGATCAAAAAGTTTCATTAGTTGAGAAACGCTATTCAGATTCACTGAATACTGAATTAACAAAGTGTGATGAATTGGACTTCATGAAGTATTCATGAGCTCTCATTTAACGCTAATTAAATTTTTTAAAAGGCCTACGTTAAATGATTTTGAGACCCTAGCTCAGACTGACAAGCATGAAAAATTAAAGTTCAGAAGAAAATTTAATCCCAGATCACATAGTTATTATAAAAGTTAGCAGTGCATTTAAGAGGCTTTTTTTTTGGGGGGGTAATAAATTGCTGTAGCCCATAACATTTAAACAAATTTTAAAAATCAGTTTTCTCATATCATTTGATCATTAAACAAAATTTGGCTAGTCACTAACAGTTTACACGTGCCAGAAAAATGAAGGGTGCCACCGTCTCAAAGGTGGCTGGACCTTACTCTGAGTACCATCCCCAAGTACACAACAGTAAGATTTGCTTCATTATATACTTTGTAAAATAGGACTTTTGAGATTGAAGATGAAGAAAGGTGCTGAGGAAACCAAGTTGTACACATCTATGACCTATTTTGAAGATTTAAAAATTAAGGCTAAGTAATGTATTGAAGAACTTTAATTCTTGGTAAAACCGAAATAGCCACTGGGACATTTTCCTAATTGGTCAGAAGACACTAAGACAACAAATTGGAAATAAAAGCAGCGCAGGCTGGGGCCAGCAAGACGGCTCAGCGGTCTAAGCACCTGCCTGGCAAGTGCAAGGACCCGGGTTTGATCCCTGGTACCACATGCTTTCTGGCTCCAGAACCCCGGGCATGCCATGCAGCCACTGAAACTGGACATGGGGGTATACACCTGCAATCCCAGTGCTGAGAAGGCTGAGACAGGAAGAGTCTGAGCTGCGCAGTGAGATGCTGTACCAAATAATTATTAACTTAAAAAATTTAAAAGTAGTGCAAATTTACTTAGATTAAGCCTCAAAATAAACAGCGTATGTTTGTTTAGAGATATGGTCTTACCATGTTTGTTTAGTTTGGACTGGCCTTCAACTATATAGTCCGGGTTGGCCTAGAATTTGCAGAGATCCTCCTGTTTCAGCCTCCCAAGTGCTGGAATTACAGATATACACCACCATGCCCAGAAGCATCTAGTATATTTTAAAAGTATAAAATTCAGCTAAGTTAGTGGCAGTGACAAAGCTATCCACCCTTTTCAGTAAGCTCAATTTAAAGATCCATTTTCTAAGGAACTAGCAATTTAGAACCTTAATGTTTGCTAAATAACAATAAAACTTTGATTAAGGTATTTTGTTCAACATTTTAGAGCTGTGCAAAATAGCCCTCCTGCCCAAAGTATCCAGCAGGAGTGACAACGAAAGGAACTAAGTCTTAAAAGCTACCAGTATATGTGGGGTGAATGCTTCATGTGTAGTGAAAAGCAAAGGGAACTCCAGGAAGCAGTAAGAATAATGTAAGTGTCTTAGTTCGTTCAGGCTGCTAGAACAGAACAGAACATCTAGGTGCTAGCTGCTTGGTACCTGGGGAATGTTCAGTTCCTGGCTCACACGATCTCCTGCCGTGTCTTCTCGTGACAGAAGGGGCAAGAGTGTGCTAAGGCCCCTTCCATAAGGGAACTAACCCGCCCAGGAGGGCTCTGCCCTGTATCTTATCTAAGTACTCCACAGCACCCACCTTCTACACCCATCACAGTGAACGCTTCCATACGGTACAGAAATTCTAGAGGAGGGAGCCAGGGAGATAACTCAGTAGAATAAGCACTTGCCTGGCAAG